AATTAGGAATATCATTTATTTTTATTTTTTTATTAATAAAAACTGCTAGTTTGACAGTCTGCGCAAGTGACAGGGTTGAATACATCACTCTCGATCGAAGATCTATGATAATCAAAGGTTAATAATTTAGTGCTCAATGAGTGCTGCCAGTATGTGATAAAACAATAGGAATATTATTTATTTTTATTTTTTTATCAATAAAAACTGCTAGTTTGACAGTCTGCGCAAGTGACAGGGTTGAATACATCACTCTGGATCGAAGATATATGATAATCAACGGTTAATAATTTAGTGCTCAATGAGTGGTGCCAGTATGTGATAAAAAATTAAGAAATTTTATTTTTTTTAATTTTTTATCAATATAAACTGCTAGTACGACAGTCTGAGCAAGTGACTGGGTTGAATACATCACTCTGGATCGAAGATCTATGATAATCAACGGTTAATAATTTAGTGCTCAATGAGTGCTGCTAGTATGTGATAAAACATATGGATTTTTTTATTTTTTATTAATAAAAACTGCTAGTTTGACAGTCTGCGCAAGTGACAGGGTTGAATACATCACTCTCGATCGAAGATCTATGATAATCATAGGTTAATAATTTAGTGCTCAATGAGTGCTGCCAGTATGTGATAAAAAATTAGGAATATTATTTATTTTTATTTTTATTAATAAAAACTGCTAGTTTGACAGTCTGCGCAAGTGACAGGGTTGAATACATCACTCTCGATCGAAGATCTATGATAATCAACGGTTAATAATTTAGTGCTCAATGAGTGCTGCCAGTATGTGATAAAAAATTAGGAATATCATTTATTTTTATTTTTTTATTAATAAAAACTGCTAGTTTGACAGTCTGCGCAAGTGACAGGGTTGAATACATCACTCTCGATCGAAGATCTATGATAATCAAAGGTTAATAATTTAGTGCTCAATGAGTGCTGGCAGTATGTGATAAAAAAATAGGAATATTATTTATTTTTATTTTTTAATTAATAAAAACTGCTAGTTTGACAGTCTGAGCAAGTGACTGGGTTGAATACATCACTCTGGATCGAAGATATATGATAATCAACGGTTAATAATTTAGTGCTCAATGAGTGGTGCCAGTATGTGATAAAAAATTAAGAAATTTTATTTTTTTTAATTTTTTATCAATATAAACTGCTAGTACGACAGTCTGAGCAAGTGACTGGGTTGAATACATCACTCTGGATCGAAGATCTATGATAATCAACGGTTAATAATTTAGTGCTCAATGAGTGCTGCTAGTATGTGATAAAACATATGGATTTTTTTATTTTTTATTAATAAAAACTGCTAGTTTGACAGTCTGCGCAAGTGACAGGGTTGAATACATCACTCTCGATCGAAGATCTATGATAATCATAGGTTAATAATTTAGTGCTCAATGAGTGCTGCCAGTATGTGATAAAAAATTAGGAATATTATTTATTTTTATTTTTTTATTAATAAAAACTGCTAGTTTGACAGTCTGCGCAAGTGACAGGGTTGAATATATCACTCTCGATCGAAGATCTATGATAATCAAAGGTTAATAATTTAGTGCTCAATGAGTGCTGCCAGTATGTGATAAAAAAATAGGAATATTATTTATTTTTATTTTTTTATTAATAAAAACTGCTAGTTTGACAGTATGAGCAAGTGACTGGGTTGAATACATCACTCTGGATCGAAGATCGATGATAATCAACGGTTAATAATTTAGTGCTCAATGAGTGCTGCCAGTATGTGATAAAAAATTAGGAACATTATTTTTTTTAATATTTTATCAATATAAACTGCTAGTACGACAGTCTGAGCAAGTGACTGGGTTGAATACATCACTCTGGATCGAAGATCTATGATAATCAACGGTTAATAATTTAGTGCTCAATGAGTGCTGCCAGTATGTGATAAAAAATTAGGAATATTATTTATTTTTATTTTTTATTAATAAAAACTGCTAGTTTGACAGTCTGCGCAAGTGACAGGGTTGAATACATCACTCTCGATCGAAGATCTATGATAATCATAGGTTAATAATTTAGTGCTCAATGAGTGCTGCCAGTATGTGATAAAAAATTAGGAATATTATTTATTTTTATTTTTTTATTAATAAAAACTGCTAGTTTGACAGTCTGCGCAAGTGACAGGGTTGAATACATCACTCTCGATCGAAGATCTATGATAATCATAGGTTAATAATTTAGTGCTCAATGAGTGCTGCCAGTATGTGATAAAAAATTAGGAATATTATTTATTTTTATTTTTTTATTAATAAAAACTGCTAGTTTGACAGTCTGCGCAAGTGACAGGGTTGAATACATCACTCTCGATCGAAGATCTATGATAATCAAAGGTTAATAATTTAGTGCTCAATGAGTGCTGCCAGTATGTGATAAAAAATTAAGAAATTTTATTTTTTTTAATTTTTTATCAATATAAACTGATAGTACGACAGTCTGAGCAAGTGACTGGGTTGAATACATCACTCTGGATCGAAGATCTATGATAATCAACGGTTAATAATTTAGTGCTCAATGAGTGCTGCCAGTATGTGATAAAAAATTAGGAATATTATTTATTTTTATTTTTTATTAATAAAAACTGCTAGTTTGACAGTCTGCGCAAGTGACTGGGTTGAATACATCACTCTCGATCGAAGATCTATGATAATCAACGGTTAATAATTTAGTGCTCAATGAGTGCTGCCAGTATGTGATAAAAAATTAGGAATATTATTTATTTTTATTTTTATTAATAAAAACTGCTAGTTTGACAGTCTGCGCAAGTGACAGGGTTGAATACATCACTCTCGATCGAAGATCTATGATAATCAACGGTTAATAATTTAGTGCTCAATGAGTGCTGCCAGTATGTGATAAAAAAATTAGGAATATCATTTATTTTTATTTTTTTATTAATAAAAACTGCTAGTTTGACAGTCTGCGCAAGTGACAGGGTTGAATACATCACTCTCGATCGAAGATCTATGATAATCAAAGGTTAATAATTTAGTGCTCAATGAGTGCTGCCAGTATGTGATAAAACAATAGGAATATTATTTATTTTTATTTTTTTATTAATAAAAACTGCTAGTTTGACAGTCTGCGCAAGTGACAGGGTTGAATACATCACTCTCGATCGAAGATCTATGATAATCAAAGGTTAATAATTTAGTGCTCAATGAGTGCTGGCAGTATGTGATAAAAAAATAGGAATATTATTTATTTTTATTTTTTAATTAATAAAAACTGCTAGTTTGACAGTCTGAGCAAGTGACTGGGTTGAATACATCACTCTGGATCGAAGATATATGATAATCAACGGTTAATAATTTAGTGCTCAATGAGTGGTGCCAGTATGTGATAAAAAATTAAGAAATTTTATTTTTTTTAATTTTTTATCAATATAAACTGCTAGTACGACAGTCTGAGCAAGTGACTGGGTTGAATACATCACTCTGGATCGAAGATCTATGATAATCAACGGTTAATAATTTAGTGCTCAATGAGTGCTGCTAGTATGTGATAAAACATATGGATTTTTTTATTTTTTATTAATAAAAACTGCTAGTTTGACAGTCTGCGCAAGTGACAGGGTTGAATACATCACTCTCGATCGAAGATCTATGATAATCATAGGTTAATAATTTAGTGCTCAATGAGTGCTGCCAGTATGTGATAAAAAATTAGGAATATTATTTATTTTTATTTTTTTATTAATAAAAACTGCTAGTTTGACAGTCTGCGCAAGTGACAGGGTTGAATATATCACTCTCGATCGAAGATCTATGATAATCAAAGGTTAATAATTTAGTGCTCAATGAGTGCTGCCAGTATGTGATAAAAAAATAGGAATATTATTTATTTTTATTTTTTTATTAATAAAAACTGCTAGTTTGATAGTCTGAGCAAGTGACTGGGTTGAATACATCACTCTGGATCGAAGATCTATGATAATCAACGGTTAATAATTTAGTGCTCAATGAGTGCTGCCAGTATGTGATAAAAAATTAGGAATATTATTTATTTTTATTTTTTTATTAATAAAAACTGCTAGTTTGACAGTCTGCGCAAGTGACAGGGTTGAATACATCACTCTCGATCGAAGATCTATGATAATCAAAGGTTAATAATTTAGTGCTCAATGAGTGCTGCCAGTATGTGATAAAAAAATAGGAATATTATTTATTTTTATTTTTTTATTAATAAAAACTGCTAGTTTGACAGTCTGAGCAAGTGACTGGGTTGAATACATAACTCTGGATCGAAGATCTATGATAATCAACGGTTAATAATTTAGTGCTCAATGAGTGCTGCCAGTATGTGATAAAAAAATTAGGAATATTATTTATTTTTATTTTTTTATTAATAAAAACTGCTAGTTTGACAGTCTGCGCAAGTGACAGGGTTGAATACATCACTCTCGATCGAAAATCTATGATAATCAAAGGTTAATAATTTAGTGCTCAATGAGTGCTGCCAGTATGTGATAAAAAAATAGGAATATTATTTATTTTTATTTTTTTATTAATAAAAACTGCTAGTTTGACAGTATGAGCAAGTGACTGGGTTGAATACATCACTCTGGATCGAAGATCGATGATAATCAACGGTTAATAATTTAGTGCTCAATGAGTGCTGCCAGTATGTGATAAAAAATTAAGATTTTTTTTTTTAATTTTTTATCAATATAAACTGCTACTACGACAGTCTGAGCAAGTAACTGGGTTGAATACATCACTCTGGATCGAAGATCTATGATAATCAACGGTTAATAATTTAGTGCTCAATGAGTGCTGCCAGTATGTGATAAAACATTTGGATTTTTTAATTTTTTATCAATATAAACTGCTAGTTTGACAGTCTAAGCAAGTGACAGGGTTGAATACATCACTCTCGATCGAAGATCTATGATAATCAACGGTTAATAATTTAGTGCTCAATGAGTGCTGCTAGTATGTGATAAAACATTTGGATTTTTTTATTTTTTATTAATAAAAACTGCTAGTTTGACAGTCTGAGCAAGTGACAGGGTTGAATACATCACTCTCGATCGAAGATCTATGATAATCAAAGGTTAATAATTTAGTGCTCAATGAGTGCTGCCAGTATGTGATAAATAATTAGGATTTTTTTTTATCAATATAAACTGCTAGGATGACAGTCTGAGCAAGTGACTGGGTTGAATACATCACTCTGGATCGAAGATCTATGATAATCAACGGTTAATAATTTAGTGCTCAATGAGTGCTGCTAGTATGTGACAAAACATTTGGATTTTTTTATTTTTTATTAATAAAAACTGCTAGTTTGACAGTCTGAGCAAGTGACAGGTTGAAAATTGTTTTACTACACTCTTTGACACACTATTTATTTATATAGGTAGCATTGATAGCGAGAAAAGTTCATTTTCTATGAGAACTATTATGGGTACGTACGCCAGGTTGACACCAGCTAAGAATATTTAGTTCAATAACTTTGGTCCTTTATTATAGAGTATATATTATGAAATTTTGTAAAGCCAGGGAACTATTTGCGAACTATTTTTGTCTGTCAATTTCGTGTTGGCGAAAGGTGCGGGTTCGAGTGGAATTTTTTCTAGTTATATTTTCTTTAGATTAAAATGTATATAACTATTGTAATACTAGTATTAATAGAAATGGTAACACTTGTAATTAAAATAGTTTTAATAATAATAATAATAATTATAATGATAACAATAATAGTAACTATAATTGGCATAATATCTGTTAAAATTATAATCACAGCTTTGATCATAGTAACAGTATTAATAAAGGTTGTAATAATCCCAAATAACACTCCCAACAATATTTTTTCTATTTTTCAACAACATATAACATTAATGCTACTTGCGCTTCAAAGCTTTCTCTTACTTCTCTTTCTTTAATTTTTTGGTCATCATACATCACCCACGAACCGTTTTTTCTCCTACAGATTGCAACATAATGTCCAACAGGCTTCCAATCTACTTTTCCTGCTATGTTTTCTTTATTAGCATCATCCATTTTAACTTTTTTTTCATTTTTATTCAATTTCATGTTTCTAATCCTATCTGTCCTAGTTTTAGAAGTTGTCGGAGGATAGTAATTTACTATACCGACCAGTTTCATCGCCTTTGAATCAGTAGGTCGAGTAAATCTAATTGGGATTGTTCTCAGCCGTTTTCTGACCTCTACACCATTTTCCGCATAAGGTTCGAAGAACACCAAATCACCTGTAAATATTTTGTGTATTTATGCAAATCAATTTCATAATCGTGGGAGCGTTCAAATATTACGTAACGCTATTTGGGGGGGGGGGGGGGGGGGAGGTCTTATAAAAAGTTAGGATGCATTACAGGGGCAGGAGGGGGGTTCGATCAACGCGTTACGTAACATTGTTTTTTATTTAAATAAAAACAAAATCGTTTATTGTTTGCCAAAGTTTAAAGTAAACATGTTATTTTATTGAAAGACATTATAAGTTTTTAAAAAAAGCTAAAATAGAAAAATGCATGAGAAGTGCAATGGCGGATGAATCAAAAAAAATACAGAGCCAAGTCAGGAAAACTGCGTAATTAAATGATAGATTCTACTAATCTTAAAAAAACTTTTTATTTAGACTATGAGCACATTTAATATATTTGAAACTGATGCAAATGTTTATTAAATTATGTGTGATTATTTATTAATCATTGTACTTACCTATTTTCATGTTTTCTTTTTTAGTATATTGAGTACATCCGATATCATTACATCGGTATTCTCTCAATATATGATCTTCAAAAACATGATCGAAGTCATTGAAAGCATCTTCTCTTACCGGAATTACGGCCTGAGTTATGACTCGTGACATACATTCCTTAGAACAGGTCAAAGTTTCCTCGAAACTTGGGGTATCTTTAAAAAGTTTACAAGCAAAACTTGCAACTTGAGCTTCGCACGATATCTCATCAATGTTTTGGATTGATTTTAAAACATTAAAATGTTTTAACATTATCTGTGTTCTTTTACGATAAGTCCCACTGGTTAAGCCCTTCAAAGATTTGTGCACTAGTTTAAACATCTCATTTTCCTCTTCTTCAGCCATCTATCGATTATAAGTAATTATAATTTGGTAAAATAATTGATTCAATCACTGTACCGAACTTACATCAGTGGAGCGCCGTAAGGCATAATAACTGTAAAACCTCGGAACCCAGGGCCAGTCAATGAATCTGTAATACGAGTATTTGACTGCATTATTAAATGCTTAGATAAAAAAGTAAAAAAAAAATGCTAGATCTCGATTACAACAATTTACTGAAAAATAAGAGGCGGAAGGGGGAACAAAATGTTTATATAGTCCAGTCAATGAAGGTTTTCATCTCCGATTTCGTTGAATCTTCATCGATTTTCATGAAAAATCGTGAGTAGCTGGAGGATACCTTAAGAAACAAAAGTGACATAGTGAAAAAATTAAGATCGCACAAAATATTTTTTTTTACATTTTTTTATATACTTATAAAAACACATTTTCAAAGTTTATATAAATATTCATTGACTGGCCCTGGATTCAGAGGTATAAATCTTACGGCGCTCCACTACATGTAATAAAACATAAATCATATTTACCTTTTGGTTAATTACGGGAAAATCACACGCCGCGACTAACAGCAATTGAAATAAACTGTCGAAAGGACAAGTGTTATATAAACTTATTGTACGATTATTGATAGCAACAGCTGTTAAATCTTTAGAATTGCCATTCTTTAGAATGGGTAAACCCCGAGCTTTTTCATATTGTAACATTTCGACAATATTTTTGCATTTATTCCCGAGGTATAATGATCGCGACTTCTTTTGGGGTACTGGTGCACCTTGTCCTCGCCAATTTTCAAAAGTTCTCTTTCCCAGCATTTCTATTGTGGACTGTTTATCAATTTTATTGCACTGAGAACAGACTTTATCTTCAGAGTAGGTATCATAACTGTCATCAATGAAGTGTGATTCTCCGTTCTTCAAATTTTTACCGCAACGAACACATTCTTCATGTCTGTGACAGTCCCTGTCATCTTTACCTTCATAATTGTCTTTTTCATTGTTATTATCATTATAATGATCATAATCATTGTCATAATGATCAATATCAGGTTTTACATTCTTTTCGACGTTGACTTCTGTTTTACGCGTTTTAGAGTGGTATTCTGATGTAAAGCTACATGTCCGGCACAATCTTTTTTGGCTGAATCCTTCCTCTTCTCCATGCACAGGAAGTGAACATTGTTCTAGAGCAGGGTTTCTTAAAGTGTGGTCCACGGACCCCTTAGGGGTCCGTAGCAGGTGTATCAGGGGTCCGTAGGAGGTGAGTTTGCAAAAATATTTTTCAAAAAATTGTGTGGTGTGGGGCGCGGGCCCGGACTACAAGCTAGCGCGATGAGTCTTTGGCTTTGACCGTTATTGCGCAGAAGTCAAAAATTGGGTATCGAATGCTATGATTGGCGGTACCCATGCGCAGTATCCCCTCCACTCTGCGGTCAAAGCCAAAGACTCATCGCGCGAGCTGTATGTACGCGTGAGTTCTCGCCGCCGCCGCCTCGCCCCACCACCGCCCGCGCCACCCGCTCGCTCACTCAGTCGCTGCGCGCCGCACGGCACATCGTACCCGCCACTTGCATTGTTTTTAATTAATTAGTGAAACGTACAGGTACGTAAAAAGAGGATTAATAATAATAAGTATTTTTTAATTATACAAACTTACATATTCAATTGTGTAACGTACCTAATTGTATATTACATTGTTTCAGTTTGTTCAAGAAAATGTCAAAGAAACGAAAGTATGACGAGTCTTATGTTAACTTTGGGTTTACTTTCGTGACTGAACGTGATGGAACTCAAAAACCGCAGTGCTTTTTATGCGGAAAAGTGCTTGCTAATGGAAGTATGAAACCAGCAAAGTTGTCAGAACATCTTAAAACTGTCCACCCTGGAAATGTATGCGACAGCATTGATGACTTTCGTACTAAGAAGGCTCGGTTTGAAAAAGCCGGCACTTTACCTAAATTAGGATTCACCCCGACACAAAAACCATGTCTTGAGGCATCGTACAAGGTTGCTTACCGTATTGCTCAGCAAAAGAAGCCACATACTATCGCGGAAACATTAGTGAAGCCTTGCGCACTGGATATTGTGGAACTTGTGTGTGGTAAGAATGAAAGAAAGAAGGTTGAAGCTGTTCCCTTATCAAACGATGTTATTCATTCTAGAATTGTTGAAATGTCGTCAAATGTTTTAAAGCAGGTTATTGAAGAATTGAATGCTTCACCGTTTCCGTTCAGTATGCAATTGGATGAAAGCACCGATGTATCACAATGCAGCCAACTCTTGGTGTTTGTCCGTTATGTAAAACATGATACGCGTAGTATCAAAGAGGAGTTTTTTTTTGCGACTCACTTTTAGAAACTACGAAGGCTTCAGATGTCTTTGAAATGATAAAAAAATTTTTCATCGCACAAAATGTAGACTGGAAGACTAAACTTGGTAGTATATGTACCGATGGAGCTCCCGCGATGCTTGGTAATACATCTGGGTTTGCGGCTTTGATCAAGAAAGAGTGCCCTCATGTTATAATCACTCATTGTGTCTTGCATCGACATGCCTTGGCTTCACGAACTATGCCTACTTTTTTGAAGGAAGTTATGTCTACATGTGTCAAAATAATTAACTTCATCAGAGCAAGAGCCTTAAACCACCGCCTGTTTAAAAAGCTTTGTCAAGAAATGGGTTCAGAACATGAAGTACTTCTTTACTACACAGAAGTTCGTTGGCTGTCAAGGGGACAAGTATTGAAGCGCTTGTTTGAGTTGCGAGAAGAAGTGTTACTTTTTCTGAAAAACAAAGAAAATTCATTGTATGAATATCTTGAAAGAGAAGATTTTGTGGAAGGGCTAGCGTACTTAGCTGATATATTTACTCATTTGAACGAGATTAACCTGTCTCTTCAGGGTCTTGCAGTCACCATTGTGGATGCGTCTGAACGGCTGAAAGGTTTTTTAGGTAAACTGCCACTTTGGAAAAGGAGAGTGGAATCAGGTAATTTTGCAAATTTTCCGATGTTGGAAGAGTTGATAATGCAAAAAACACAAAGTGACGGCCACACGACATCAAAGAAGGTACAGAAAGAGGTGTCTAAGCATCTGGAAACATTGCAGACGTCTTTTGAAGGTTATTTCAGCCCAGAGTCGCTTGAAAAAGAAACATGGGTGCGGAGCCCATTTTTAATCGATATTGACAGCATTAGTGATGAAGATCTTATTAAAGATGATCTAATTGACATGAGATCAAAAGAAGTTTTGAAAGCTGAATTTCAGGCAAAAGATCTTGGCGACTTTTGGGGTTCCTTAAGTCAAGCTTACCCTCTTCTAGTCAAGCGAGCTATGTCCATTTTGATACCGTTTGCTACTACGTATCTTTGCGAGGCAGGGTTCTCGATTCTGATGTCAATAAAGACAAAAAGTCGCAATCGGTTGAACGTCGCAGATGACATGCGACTTGCCTTGTCGAAGACAGTCCCACAAATTAACGTTCTCATTGAGGCCAAACAACAGCACCCTTCTCATTAACTTATTTCTTAATAATTGTAATGATTAAAGTTCAAATAAATAAAAGTATTTTATATACTATATAAGTACGGCTTTTTTTTATAACAATTTTTTTTTGACAGTGGTCCGTAGAGTTGTTTAAATTTCGAAAGGGGTCCGTGACTGGAAAAAGTTTAAGAAACCCTGTTCTAGAGTATGAACTGCTTTGTAACATTTGATGCAACTATGGTTTCCTGACGGTAAATTACCATCTTTACAAGCGGGACAGGCATCATAAGTTTGATCTTCATCACGCGCATTATCAGAAACTTCATCTTTATAAGTTTCATTTTTTGTGGCCAGCTGTTCTTCAATATTGGCATCAACCACGCTCGTTCTTCCTAATAGATATTTTATGTGCTCTTCTACAGCAGCGTCGACCCTCAATCCTTTCTTTATTTTGAAGATACCTCGTTTGAGGCGGGCAATTTCACTTTCAACGGGAGCGCTGGAAGGTGGTATCCGTCCTGTTTGAAATTTGTTGTAACTAATACACGACCATAATGGGATTTTCTTAATATCTCGCAATAGCTTTTTGGTCAATTCTTTATTATGAAGAGCATTTTCTTCGAGACCATTATCATCCAAAGTACTAACTACATTTTCGTATAATTTTTTTCCGAGCTCTGACCACTCCGTATCATTATTGTCTTCATCATCCTCATTGATACTATTGAGATCTTTGTATTTCTCATCATTCTCAACATTATCGAAATTTTCCGTATTGCCTAGAAAAATTAAAAATAAATTCAGTAAATAAAAATAGCACGCAAAAAATACTGACAAAAATTCATCAGTCAAATAATCAAAAAGTCAATAGTGTAAGATTGGAAAAATACAGTAATTATAAATTAAGTTGATTTATACCTATAATTGAATTCCTCAACGTATCTTTTGCAATTTGACAAGCTGAGTCACGCCCTGATGGTAATTTTCCTGCTCGTTCACTTAACGCCACAGTCATAATTAGTTTTATATAACTCCAAATTTCCCTTTCGTTTGTCATGCACAGTAATTGTCCTAAACATGCTAGGTAGAAAGATTTCACAAGTTTCGGAGATGTACTCAATTGCTTTGCATATAAGTGCATAAAATGTGCAACATCAACTCTTATATAGCAACTGGGTACAACATCTCGTCGACATGCGTTAGCATACTCTGCGACCGTTTTAAATCCTGTAAAGGATGAAATCGTTGCTATTAATTGGGCTTCGTTATTATCCATAACAACTTCACGTGGTTTAGGGAATCCATAACTTAGCCATTTATTCCAGAAGTGAGTTATAACGGTAGCGTCCTGGGCTTCCGAAATCATTTGACCCACAGTCATTTGTTGTCCGCAGTAATTAATAGCTACTAAATATAGCAACAATTGTGATGTCTTCACTTCATTTTGCTTAATGAATTTCGGACTAATTCCACCAGTGGCATCAATATATACGCAACTCTTCTCGTTGGTCGCGTATTTAATAAATACATCACGTTGGTGATGAGTCCAATAGAAAACAGTAAATGGAACAACGGACAAAAAATGGATCGTTCCTGGATAAACCCTATCATGCATGATGGAAATGGCAGTGATTGGATCGGGGTGATAATGTTCTGAGCGAATCAGCTCAGCTTTCGCTGATCGAAGTACAGAAGCTTTCGGCATATGCGGAGGGAGTGGATCATTCTTTTTGCATTTTTCCCGGGCAAATTCTGCTTCATATTGATCGGTTGTCAGAGTTTTCATTTTTTCAGCAGCAGTTTTTCTATGAATATTGCGTAAATATATCTTACTGCACTGTCCAGTACCACGTGTAGCGTCACAAGTAAAAACGGCTTCGTTGTTAGCAACTCGGAATCTGCCATGCAATAAGCTTCCGCAATCACAATGACCTACATAGAAAAGGAGATTTCAATATTATGGAATACAACATATAACTAGTTTTGTGTTTTTTAAAAATTTGTAACATGTGGAAAATAATTTGATTATTTACGGTTATCATAATATTTTAAAAAGTTTGAAAAATCCAAAATTGCATGTTTAATAATGCTTTTATGATTTTTCCAAAATTAATATAAATAAAATAAAATAATTAAAAATAGGAATAAGAATAATCACTCTTTATGGAACAAATAAATATATATTACTAGCTGTTACCCGCGGCTACGCTCGCGTGGTTTTCCTATTTGAGGCTATCATCCTCTTTTGACATAGTGAGTAAAAAAGTAGCTTATAGCAACCCAAAGCTTCAACCTCCAACCAGTATTCAAGAATTATATATGAAAGATAATTGTAAACATAAACTTAAAAAATATTTGTTAGAGCGAATCGCTGTAGACAGATAAACCCATGTTTAAGGGTTTTTTAGATACAGCCATTGTATATCAAAAATGTAATTGATTTGATTGAATGCAGTCATTGAAGCAAAAAATACGGTCTTACCTCCGAATTTTTTTATTGTGAACCGGTTTGCATGAAATTTTGGAATTAGGCTCACCTTACCCTTAACTTCAAAAGTGAAAATGATCTGAACTCCGCCTATTATTTTTAAGGGGTGTAAACAACCCCTTAATGGAAAAATTGACATTGAGCCATTTCAGCAGGTAAGCAACAGCAAGCAGTAGGTACCTACCTACCTTGATTGATTTTAAAGAAATACGATTTACTAAGGTACCATATCTGTTTTTGTTTTCCTTTGTGATTTGGTTTTGTTGTGCATTAAATGAATTAGGTAGGTATTTTGGTAGTTTCTTCGAATGTATAAAATTGACTCACTGATAAAAATTATGGAAAAACACATAACATCGTGTACAGTAGCGTACTTAAATAGTACTGCTATGTGTTTAAAATAATTAAACCCTTTATTCTAATAATACTAATGCTTTTACATTTTGAAGTTTTATTACGTACTATCCATAGTAGTATTAGGTATTATTATGAGAGTGTTTGTTTTGTTTATCCTTCCTCGAAGCCTAAACCACTTTGAAATTTGGTAAGTATATATAGTGCAGTCATTGAAGCATTATTACTCCGAATTTTTTTACTGTGAACCGAATTGCATACAATTTTGGAATTAGGTTCATCTTACCCTTAACTTCAAAAGTGAAAATGATGGTTGCCACCCCTTCTCGGGGGTGATTTTTTTTTCAAAATAAGTATTGTAATAAATTTTAAGCAAAAAATCATCTATAAAGTTTTTCAAAAAATCCAATACTTTTCAAGTTATTGGCAATTGAAAATTCGAAATTTTTTCCCGTTTTTCATCGGTTTTTTGCAAATATCTCCAAAAATGTAAGTTTTATCGAAAATTTTATAAAGAACAAAATTGTAGCAGGTAAAACAATGAACAATTTGGTTTTTTTATAGAGTATTCTAAGTGCAATATTAAGCTAGATATCAAAGATCAAAGCCGTTTTTTATTTTGTCTGAAATTTAATCGATGTGGTCAATGCCATCTAGCGGCGAGCAGATGCATTTTATGCATTCTAATACAAAATCTTTTTATGTCATACCAAAGTATTTTTTTGTGACTTTTTAAATTTAGGGGTTGTTTGCAAGGGTTGTAAGATTTTCAAAGGGTTGCAAATGATTTTAATATGGGGTAATTATGTTAAAAAATACTTTACAATTTCATCACTTACTATTAGACATGTTTTCTAGCTATAAAATGGCTCAATGTCAATTTTTCCGTTAAGGGGTTGTTTACACCCCTTAAAAATAATAGGCGGAGTTCAGATCATTTTCACTTTTGAAGTTAAGGGTAAGGTGAGCCTAATTCCAAAATTTCATGCAAAACGGTTCACAGTAGAAAAATTCGGAGGTAAGACCGTATTTTTCGCTTCAATGACTGCACTAATAGGTTGAAGCTTTGGGTTGCTATAAGCTACTTTTTTACTCACTATGTCAAAAGAGGATGATAGCCTCAAATAGGAAAACCACGCGAGCGTAGCCGCGGGTAACAGCTAGTTAAAAACAATAAATATAAAAAAGTAATGTTCATGAATAGCGCCATCCGAAAAACCTCAGATTTTTAGTGCAAGTAAACTCGACTCGGGTAGCGACATCTCTTCAGTTTCACACGCAACAGCTTGGTTTTCGAATTGTTATTCGAGTTGGTAGCGCCTACCTCTACTCAACATCCAGGTTCATCTCCACTTGAAAATTATTGGCTAATACTCGATTAAGGGACTAAAATAAATCATAACAGCTGTTTATTTAATATCTGTCTACTGTAAACAGCTGATTATTTAATATCTATTTGATGTTTATAAGATTTTCTGGTAAGATTTTAGGACACTGAAGGAAGTCAGTCAGTTCTTATTTTATTTACTAATATTGTTTTAATTAAAATATCTACCTACATGACGTTAAAATTAACAATAAATATTAAAAAGTCATGTTCATAAATAGCGCGATCTGAAAAAACGCAATATCACAACTCACATTTTTAGCAATTAAAAATTCTCGATATTAAAGACGGGTGGTGCCATCTGATAAGTTACTCAGAAAATATTATTTCAAGAGAGACGACTCGGTTGAGTTGGTATTCGAGATGGTAGCGCCATCTCTATCTATAATCACTCGAAAATGATATTTTTATATTATAAATTTGGAGTAGTATTTGCTAGATTTAATTTTAAAAATAAGATTAGAAAGAAATTGCGTAAAATTACCTCGATTTAATAAATGAAACACTAACACAAAATACTCGGTATTGAACACGAGTGGTGCCATCTCGTATTATTAAGTTAAGATAGCAACTTCCACATTTCAAATTTAATCTGTCTTCGTGACAGTAGCACCATCTCTATCGGGACCAACCATGAAAATGATTAATTTAGTTGAAAATTATGTAAATTCGAATATATAAATTAAAAAAAAGTAGACTATAGCAGGCTCATAAGTTCAAGCTATACATTTACCAAATTTCAACACAATCGGTTCAGCGGTTTAGGCGTGAAGAGAAGACAAACAAACAAACACACTTTCCCATTTATAATATTAGTATGGATTTGCTTATTTCCTTTGTTTTTTTGGTTTCTATTTATAAATTTATAACTATCATCATAAATAAAATAATTTTATACTTTACCGTTTATTGATCCAGACATTTTATCGATGGTAATATAATGATTTTTGAAGTTATATCCACACTTTCTATGTGTAGCATGCCAAATTTTATCAACTATTACTCTTTCCCACTCAAAACGTTTAAAAACCCGCTTATTTAACGTTTTAGCATCACCTTTACGTTTGGGATATGATACAGTAGTGATCAGACTATCAAGCTCTTCAAATGTCATGCTAAACTCGAAGTGGTATTGGCCATCTTCACCAAGCTGAGCATCTTTCGATGTATTCAATTCTTTTGATAAATCTAATGTCATGTTCCCAGATATTCTACTGTCAGTTAATGTTGAGTGTAAACTTTGATTAACATTGGAAGTAATTTTTGTCCTTATATCATATTTGTTGTTTGTAACAATAGTATATAATGTTTTAGGTGATAGTTTATGGTCCAAATCAGCAGCAATTAGATTCCAAACATCATGTCGTTTGTTCACAACTTTAATTTTATCTGTAATCACAACACTACCGTGACGACTTATAGCTTCTAACAACTGCTCTTTAGAAACAGATGGTTTCCGCCCTGGCTTAGATTCCATCATTATTTATTACACAATATTGGTGTGACCTGACATAAAAAAAAAAGTTATCAGCAATATAAAAAAAAAACTTCGCAATACAGTTATGATGAAGAGATGTACTACACGTACACGATAAGTTGAGACCTGAGTGTATGCAAAAAATACTTTTTTGTATTATTCTATATTATAAATATACATTATTCTATATTATGTAATGTACTAAATTTAATATTATAGGATAATGTATATTTATATTTATAACATAGAACAATACAAAAAAACATTTTTTTGCACACACTCAGGTCTCAACTTATCGTGCGCGTGTAGTACTCAATAAAATATTAATATTTTTTGATAAAAAAAAATATTACTCTACATGACATTGAACCTATTGGGAATAGTTTACATTAAATGTCAATTATAGGTATAATTATTACATCCATTATAGAAACCATTCCTTTAATTATAGGTGCTATTCCTATAATGAGGGCTATCGCGTATGAATCCGCCGCTAGAGGCGCTAGTGTAGCGTGAGGTCTCCGAAATGTCAAATGTTATTGCTTGTTGGTTGACTACGCGGGTTTATTTCTAATTAAAATAATTTTGTGAATAATTGGTAACAATTCGGCTTAATTATGGCAAATGAGTTATGTGGCAATGAATGTCTTTATTAAAAATTTGAGCTTAGAAAAATGATTATGTTCCCATTTTTTCCGAATAAAACGGAACTGCGCGTCACTGTGGCATGGCCTATTATGTTTAGTTCTTTTGTGTTAAAATACGATCTAAAGGTAACCTTTGATTTCATGTGCGTATTAATAAACTTTAAAAGTTACAATTTAGGACCTCACTCAACAGTGGCGCCATCTGATGAGGCAGAAAACGGTAGCCCTCATTATGGTAATGGTTCCTATATGAGAACCATTCCTATGTTGTCATAGAAATGGCTTCTATATAATTATGGGAACTATTCCGATAATATTATAAGAATAACCATTTTTCATTTAAATTTACTAATTACTAACACAGATTCCCAACGCGACGGGTATGAACCAGTTCGTAACGGTCGACGCAGGCTACCGTCGCTATTTGCTATGCTTCGACCTCCGATTAAAACCTCCGATTTAAAAGTATCGGAACCGAAATCGGAACCGAAGGTGTGATAATAATCGGAAGTTCCGGCTTATCGGAATCGGAGTCGAAGCTCCGTAACATCCCTGAAGCAAACCTTTCCAAATAAAATAGAAACAATATATATTAAAGTAATAACTTACTACTTAAAACCAACTTTACACACAAACTCTTGAGGTAAGTATTAATTGACTAGAAATAAACTGCAAACTTTTTTAACAATAATCGGTCACGTCATAGAACCTCAACGTCTCGGATAACTGCCTAGTACCTACTAACTGAACTGGTATGGTTCCAGTCGCTCACTCTGTAAACGAACGAAAACCACCACCTCTCCGCACCTCTCACCCGCTTACGCCTGCGGCTCTTTCGTTTCAGCCCGGTGCGCAAAATTTTCAATGGTATAAAATACCAATGGATTTATTCTTAGTTTATTTAGGTAGCCGTCGGTAAAAAAAGTGTTTTATAGCATTTGAAAACACTTATAGAGTGATATCTAGGAGCGTCACGAGATGACAACAGCGCCAACTTAGCTAGTGAGGTAAATAAAAAGCAAGTTGCCAATGAGCTTTATGGACGCATACAAAAGTTTTGCTATTCTTCACAAGATGGCGTATGCGCTCATCATAATAATAAAAGTAATTTTCTTTCGATTTATAAATCTAGTAGTTCAGCTTAAAATATAAAATAAAATTGCTATTTCTTCTTTTAAATGCTTAATACTTGTTATCCTTTCGTTTTACTTTAGTAACTTACAATGTGAAGCTAGTAGCAATAGTTGCTCTTCGATGCGAAGAGATGGCGCTGCCTAAGAACTGACCAACCGTGAGGAACGTTCTCTAGAAAAAAACATCTATACATTTCCCAAATAGGTACTTCAAAAATACGTAACTTCACTTAAATTCGTAGTCAGGATATTTTAACAAATAATTAGAGAGAGAGTCCGGAGCTTATTTATGGTATCATCTCTTGAACATGACCATTCGTAAACTCTGCATGCTTAATATTATCATTATATATAATAAAACTAAGTTGATAAAATGTGCGTGCCGATAAAACTTAAAAAGGAGTCCCAGCACGTTATAGGGACTTAAATAGTGTGATAGCCCTTTATCCCCCCTCGAACAAGAAAGTTCCCGTTTTAACCTAAAGGGAGTGTTTTTAAAGATATAAGGGCTTTTCCAATCCTTCAACTTGGAAATTTAGTGAAGTGGCGCCATCTGTTGTCAAGTATTTGAACTTCAAGAAGGTGTGAGAAAGAAAATTCTCCAACTTTCTCGAATATTCAAGAGCCTAGCTCTCTGAATATATAGGATCCCGGTGTCGCCCGCCAGAGTTAGTTCAATTTGAACAGCGAAACCAGGGATTTCTAAACGAAAAGGAAAGAAGTTATCTGTGAGCCTTTATTTTGAAGTGTCACATACTGGCAGCACTCATTGAGCACTAAATTATTAACCGTTGATTATCATAGATCTTTGATCCAGAGTGATGTATTCAACCCAGTCACTTGCTCAGACTGTCGTACTAGCAGTTTATAGTGATAAAAAATTAAAAAAAAAAAACTTAATTTTTTATCACATACTGGCAGCACTCATTGAACACTAAATTATTAACCGTTGATTATCATAGATCTTCGATCCAGAGTGATTTATTCAACCCTGTCACTTGCTCAGACTGTCAAACTAGCAGTTTTTATTAATAAAAAATCCAAATGTTTTATCACATACTAGCAGCACTCATTGAGCACTAAATTATTAACCTTTGATTATCATAGATCTTCGATCCAGAGCGATGTATTTAACCCGGTGACTTGCTCAGACTATCATACTAGCAGTTTTTAATGTTAAAAATTAAAAAAAAAATCCTAATTTTTTATCACATACTGGCAGCACTCATTGAGCACTAAATTATTAACCGTTGATTATCATAGATCTTCGATCCAGAGTGATGTATTTAACCCAGTCACTTGCTCAGACTGTCGTACTAGCAGTTTATAGTGATAAAAAAATAAAAATAAATAATATTCCTAATTTTTTTATCACATACTGGCAGCACTCATTGAGCACTAAATTATTAACCTTTGATTATCATAGATCTTCGATCGAGAGTGATGTATTTAACCCTGTCACTTGCGCAGACTGTCAAACTAGCAGTTTTTATTAATAAAAAAATAAAAATAAATAATATTCCTAATTTTTTTATCACATACTGGCAGCACTCATTGAGCACTAAATTATTAACCGTTGATTATCATAGATCTTCGATCGAGAGTGATGTATTCAACCCTGTCACTTGCGCAGACTGTCAAACTAGCAGTTTTTTTTAATAAAAATAAAAATAAATAATATTCCTAATTTTTTATCACATACTGGCAGCACTCATTGAGCACTAAATTATTAACCTATGATTATCATAGATCTTCGATCGAGAGTGATGTATTCAACCCTGTCACTTGCGCAGACTGTCAAACTAGCAGTTTTTATTAATAAAAAATAAAAATAAATAATATTCCTAATTTTTTATCACATACTGGCAGCACTCATTGAGCACTAAATTATTAACCGTTGATTATCATAGATCTTCGATCCAGAGTGATGTATTTAACCCAGTCACTTGCTCAGACTGTCGTACTAGCAGTTTATATTGATAAAAAATTAAAAAAAATTAAATTTCTTAATTTTTTATCACATACTGGCAGCACTCATTGAGCACTAAATTATTAACCGTTGATTATCATAGATCTTCGATCCAGAGTGATGTATTCAACCCAGTCACTTGCTCAGACTGTCGTACTAGCTGTTGATATTGATAGAAAATTAAAAAAAATAAAATTTCCTAATTTTTTATCACATACTGGCAGCACTCATTGAGCACTAAATTATTAACCGTTGATTATCATAGATCTTCGATCCAGAGTGATTTATTCAACCCAGTCACTTGCTCAGACTGTCGTACTAGCAGTTTATAGTGATAAAAAATTAAAAAAAAAAAAAAAAACTTAATTTTTTATCACATACTGGCAGCACTCATTGAGCACTAAATTATTAACCGTTGATTATCATAGATCTTCGATCCAGAGTGATGTATTCAACCCAGTCACTTGCTCAGACTGTCGTACTAGCAGTTTATATTGATAAAAAATTAAAAAAAATAAAATTTCTTAATTTTTTATCACATACTAGCAGCACTCATTGAGCACTAAATTATTAACCGTTGATTATCATAGATCTTCGATCCAGAGTGATGTATTCAACCCAGTCACTTGCTCAGACTGTCAAACTAGCAGTTTTTATTAATAAAAAAATAAAAATAAATAATATTCCTATTTTTTTATCACATACTGGCAGCACTCATTGAGCACTAAATTATTAACCTATGATTATCATAGATCTTCGATCGAGAGTGATGTATTCAACCCTGTCACTTGCGCAGACTGTCAAACTAGCAGTTTTTATTAATAAAAAATAAAAATAAATAATATTCCTAATTTTTTATCACATACTGGCAGCACTCATTGAGCACTAAATTATTAACCGTTGATTATCATAGATCTTCGATCCAGAGTGATGTATTTAACCCAGTCACTTGCTCAGACTGTCGTACTAGCAGTTTATATTGATAAAAAATTAAAAAAAATTAAATTTCTTAATTTTTTATCACATACTGGCAGCACTCATTGAGCACTAAATTATTAACCGTTGATTATCATAGATCTTCGATCCAGAGTGATGTATTCAACCCAGTCACTTGCTCAGACTGTCGTACTAGCTGTTGATATTGATAGAAAATTAAAAAAAATAAAATTTCCTATTTTTTTATCACATACTGGCAGCACTCATTGAGCACTAAATTATTAACCTTTGATTATCATAGATCTTCGATCGAGAGTGATGTATTCAACCCTGTCACTTGCGCAGACTGTCAAACTAGCAGTTTTTATTAATAAAAAAATAAATAATATTCCTAATTTTTTATCACATACTGGCAGCACTCATTGAGCACTAAATTATTAACCGTTGATTATCATAGATCTTCGATCCAGAGTGATGTATTCAACCCAGTCACTTGCTCAGACTGTCGTACTAGCAGTTTATATTGATAAAAAATTAAAAAAAATAAAATTTCTTAATTTTTTATCACATACTGGCAGCACTCATTGAGCACTAAATTATTAACCTTTGATTATCATAGATCTTCGATCGAGAGTGATGTATTTAACCCTGTCACTTGCGCAGACTGTCAAACTAGCAGTTTTTATTAATAAAAAAATAAAAATAAATAATATTCCTAATTTTTTTATCACATACTGGCAGCACTCATTGAGCACTAAATTATTAACCGTTGATTATCATAGATCTTCGATCGAGAGTGATGTATTCAACCCTGTCACTTGCGCAGACTGTCAAACTAGCAGTTTTTTTTAATAAAAATAAAAATAAATAATATTCCTAATTTTTTATCACATACTGGCAGCACTCATTGAGCACTAAATTATTAACCTATGATTATCATAGATCTTCGATCGAGAGTGATGTATTCAACCCTGTCACTTGCGCAGACTGTCAAACTAGCAGTTTTTATTAATAAAAAATAAAAATAAATAATATTCCTAATTTTTTATCACATACTGGCAGCACTCATTGAGCACTAAATTATTAACCGTTGATTATCATAGATCTTCGATCCAGAGTGATGTATTTAACCCAGTCACTTGCTCAGACTGTCGTACTAGCAGTTTATATTGATAAAAAATTAAAAAAAATAAAATTTCTTAATTTTTTATCACATACTGGCAGCACTCATTGAGCACTAAATTATTAACCGTTGATTATCATAGATCTTCGATCCAGAGTGATGTATTCAACCCTGTCACTTGCGCAGACTGTCAAACTAGCAGTTTTTTTTAATAAAAATAAAAATAAATAATATTCCTAATTTTTTATCACATACTGGCAGCACTCATTGAGCACTAAATTATTAACCGTTGATTATCATAGATCTTCGATCCAGAGTGATGTATTCAACCCAGTCACTTGCTCAGACTGTCGTACTAGCAGTTGATATTGATAAAAAATTAAAAAAAATAAAATTTCCTAATTTTTTATCACATACTGGCAGCACTCATTGAGCACTAAATTATTAAGCGTTGATTATCATACATCTTCGATCCAGAGTGATGTATTCAACCCAGTCACTTGCTCAGACTGTCGTACTAGCAGTTTATAGTGATAAAAAATTAAAAAAAATAATGTTCCTAATTTTTTATCACATACTGGCAGCACTCATTGAGCACTAAATTATTAACCGTTGATTATCATAGATCTTCGATCCAGAGTGATGTATTCAACCCAGTCACTTGCTCAGACTGTCAAACTAGCAGTTTTTATTAATTAAAAAATAAAAATAAATAATATTCCTATTTTTTTATCACATACTGCCAGCACTCATTGAGCACTAAATTATTAACCTTTGATTATCATAGATCTTCGATCGAGAGTGATGTATTCAACCCTGTCACTTGCTCAGACCGTCAAACTAGCAGTTTTTATTAATAAAAAATAAAAAAATCCAAATGTTTTATCACATACTAGCAGCACTCATTGAGCACTAAATTATTAACCGTTGATTATCATAGATATTCGATCGAGAGTGATGTATTCAACCCTGTCACTTGCTCAGACTGTCAAACTAGCAGTTTATATTGATAAAAAATTAAAAAAAAATCAAATTTCCTAATTTCTTATCACATAATGGCATCACTCATTGAGCACTAAATTATTAACCGTTGATTATCATAGATCTTCGATCTAGAGCGATGTATTTAAGCCGGTGACTTGCTCAGACTATCATACTAGCAGTTTTTAATGTTAAAAAATTTAAAAAAATAAAATTTCGTTACTTTTTTATCACATACTGGCAGCACTCATTGAGCACTAAATTATTAACCGTTGATTATCATAGATCTTCGATCCAGAGAGATGTATTCAACCCAGTCACTTGCTCAGACTGTCGTACTAGCAGTTTATATTCATAAAAAATAAAAAATCCAAATTTTTTATCACATACTGGCAGCACTCATTGAGCACTAAATTATTAACCGTTGATTATCATAGATCTTCGATCGAGAGTGATGTATTCAACCCTGTCACTTGCGCAGACTGTCAAACTAGCAGTTTTTATTAATAAAAATAAAAATAAATAATATTCCTAATTTTTTATCACATACTGGCAGCACTCATTGAGCACTAAATTATTAACCGTTGATTATCATAGATCTTCGATCGAGAGTGATGTATTCAACCCTGTTACTTGCTCAGACTGTCAAACTAGCAGTTTTTATTAATAAAAAATAAAAAAATCCAAATGTTTTATCACATACTAGCAGCACTCATTGAGCACTAAATTATTAACCGTTGATTATCATAGATCTTCGATCCAGAGTGATGTATTCAACCCAGTCACTTGCTCAGACTGTCGTACTAGCAGTTTATATTGATAAAAAATTAAAAAAAATTAAAAATTCCTAATTTTTTATCACATACTGGCAGCACTCATTGAGCACTAAATTATTAACCGTTGATTATCATAGATCTTCGATCCAGAGTGATGTATTTAACCCAGTCACTTGCTCAGACTGTCATACTAGCAGTTTATATTGATAAAAAAATAAAAAAATAAAATGTTCCTAATTTTTTATCACATACTGGCAGCACTCATTGAGCACTAAATTATTAACCGTTGATTATCATAGATCTTCGATCCAGAGTGATGTATTCAACCCAGTCACTTGCTCAGACTGTCATCCTAGCAGTTTTTATTGATAAAAAATAAAATATTATTATTTTCCAAAATTGTCATCAGATACTGCCAGCACTCATTAAGCACTAAATTCCCTATGCATTGCTTTAGTTCTATACCGCGTTAATATAGGCGTTTCAGGGAATACACTGCTAGCTTAATTAAAAGCTGGCAGTGTTCTAATTTTTCGCTAAACTATGAGAGCATTAAATTTCCGGTTTTGGCACTAAATTAGCACTAAATAAGCACTAATTGATGCACTTTATTTTAATCGATTCTGCTCACTTTGCCATGCTAGCTTAACAGACGTTTGCGGGGACCCCGCAGACGTGCGCAGGATGGCCCGCGCGTGGGGGCTAAGCACGCGGCCTAGTGCCCACCGTACCGCCCCCCGTCCGCTGCGGAGGGCCACTCGGGGATACCCGTTTGGCTCCCTCCGCTACAGGACAGAACTGCAATAGGGAGGGCCGCCGTTCCCGTGGGAGTGGGACGAGGAGCATAGTTCTCCCCGTCCCTCTCCCCTCGCCGTCTAGTGATGCAGGGGCGGGCGCCCCCCCTCCTGGTCGCCCGCGTTTCCGCGCCCCTTCTCGAGAAGAGGGTCGAAGCGCAGGCGGCAGTAGTCGGTAAGGAGTCCATGCGGCCGAGGCTACTCGGACATCCCCTCCTCTGGGGGCACCCGTCCGGGCGCCGACGGCTCAGCGACCACTTTGTCCGGGGGTTTGTCCCTGGTGACTGGAAGGTCGCACCTCCTGCCGCCCATGACGTGGTCAGCCGGTCGACCACTGTCCGCACACACTGCACATTGAGACGGGGCGGCGCATGTGGCCGCCTTGTGTTCCGTCTTCCCGCACCTGAAACACAGGCCACTGCGGTCCTCCCTTGACGGGCACCTGTTGGCGACGTGGCCTCTGCCCATGCACCTAAAGCAGTGCGAAGGCGGGGGGCCCAGAGCCGTCACCCGAGCAAGGCTCCAGCCCACCTTTAGCCTGTCGCCCTCCGCCACCTTTTTCGCAGCCTCTACGGGGCACCTCACCTTGGCGAACCCGCTGCCTCCCGGTCCGGAGAGTATCTCCCCTACCTCTACCTTGCAGGTTCGGTAGCCCCCCTTTTCCGCCACCGCCTGCATCAGCTCCTCAGTCGTAACGGACTCATCGAGCCCGGCAATCCGCAGGTCGGCTACCCTTTCCGGCCTGCTGACCTCTACGTACTCTGCCACCACCTCGCTGAGCCGTTTCGCGAGGCATCCGCCTTTGTGGGGCTGTCCGGTCCCGTGACCATTAAGAGTTTGGTCCCCATCCGGCTTTCCCTGATATTGAGCCCTCCCTCTATGCCTACCTCCAGGAGCCGCATCTTCCTCCTAGCCGTCTCCAATACCTTAGCGTAGGTGACCCCTTCCTCCTTCGCGGCTGGCGTTAGTGCCAAAGACACAGCCGCGGTATTTGGCACCCTCATCCTCGGCAGGCGGGTCTCCGGTCGCTGCGCCTTCTTCTGTACTGGCGCCTGCGCCCTCGCCACCTCCGGCACCGGGGCCACTCCCGGGCCCGTACCCTTCTTCCTCACCTTCTTCCTGGCCACAGCGCTCCAGGTCTCCATTGCTGCGGCCGTCTCTCCCTCCGTACCACGCCGGTCCACCGCTAACGGTGGTCTAAGTTGCTTCGGCGGCGGGAGTTTCTCCTCTAGAGAGGCCAGCCGAGTGCTGACCATCTCCCCTATGGACAGCTTAAGGGAGCGTTTCAGCTCCTCGATGGCCTCCGGTGGCATCCATTGTGTAGTTGGAGGAGGCGCAGGCTGTGCTTTCTTCTCCACCAATCTCCTCAGCGACTCCATCTCCCCCCGCATAGCCTCGACCTCGGCCTTCATCCTCTGGTTCTCCTCAAGGGGTCGGAGGTTCTTCTCCTCCACCTTGTCCATTCTTTTGGCCGCCTCGGTACTCCGCAGGGCCACCTCCAAGAACACCAGTATCTCGCTGGCCGCCTGTAGGGTATTCTTGGGGCTCTTGTCTCTCGGAAATCGTCTTTTAACCATTTCTCCAATGTACTCCACGTGCTGGGTGATCACGTCCCTGATTTCCTCCGTCGTGAGGTCATCCCACTCCTCCTTCTCAATCCTGCACATATGCTCGGACTCCGAAGAGGGAACTGGGGAAGCTTTACGCTTACCCCTTCCCCTGCATGCCGTGTTTACCTTGGGGGGCGTCGGTGTTAAGCCCACCCCATCCTCCTTGTCCCCGTCGCCTCTAAGGCGCAGGACACCTTCTCCTTCTAACGCCTCGGTAGCAAACTTACCACTACGGGACCCGGTAATCCCGCAGCGCCGGTGGCCAGCCGGAGCGCATGAGCTGCTAGTAGCAAACTTCTCACCCTGGGGCCCAGCTACCCCAGAGCGCCCGGTGTCAACGGGAGCGCATGACAAACTCAATACTAAGGACGACATTACATACTAATTTCCCTCTTCCGGGCGAGGGAACCCTACCTGGCCTCATCAAACGGTAATTTTTGAAAAGGTTTTCGTCCTTGCAGCTCCCTCCCCGAAGGACGGCGGCCCCCGGCCCAACACCACGGGTTGGCCGGAGGCAACGCAGAGTTCGCGCCGCAACCGCCCTAACCGATGGCGTTTCCGCCTCGACCTTTCAGTTCTCGTGGATCACGCGTACGCGTTGGACGTGCACTTGATTTACGCTAATAAATGTTCATAGTGAAAAGGATAGACCTATATAATAAAAAAGGAACGCTGCAATTACATCGACGCCGCGCCAGTGGCAGCGTTGGATCTAGTAGTTCTATCCCTGTCGCTCTTGGATCTGTGCTACCGCGGTGATAAGTATGATGCAACGTACGCCTGATAAGAATAAGGTTCGTTATGGGTGGATTAGTATCAGAAATTCATTTAAAAATCACTTGTGGTAGGGTCCACAGATGATTTTACAGGCTCTGGTAATTTTCTTTTAAGCTGTAATGTAAAAAATAATATTATAAACTAGTTATTTTTCCAAAATAATTAAAACTCGGTTACGCAAATAACATCCAAACAAACCGATAAATCCAGTTTTAAACTAGGTAAAGTGCCCTTCTTTAATTTTTTAAGACCTTTTTTTGTCACTATGAAGTCCGCGTCATTGAAATGGCAAGAACAAATCTTTGTGTATTTTGTTGGTGTCCAAACCGGTCTATTAAGTTTTGAAATCCATTGCTGTTTTAAATTATCGTTGGATGGAAATCTAAAACGAACATAAAAATAATTAAAATTAATTTACTTGGTAAAATAATTTAATACTTATTACGGCCCTGGATATTTGTTACGTTTAAAAAGTTATTCTATATGACGACAGATGGCGGCCAGTTAGTAATATATTAATAAAATCGATAAAATTACTTTTTTAGATACTAAAAGTTATTTAGGAATAAATGTATAACAGTTTTCAGTATTTACGTACGATTATTACAATATACTACTGCAAAATTATACGTAAACTTATGTATTTTCTTCCTAAAAGTGTCGCCATCTGGTGTCAAGTAGTAAAATTTTAACGCTGATAGCTGAGAATGTTCTAGAACTTATATATTTTATTACGTATAAAATTAATTACACATGAAATGTGATGCCATCCATATTATCAGAACGTCTGTCTGAGTAACTTTGGCATAGTAAAACACAACACTTCATCCTTTTCTTGTTAAAAACGCAAAAAAACACTTATAACGCGAGTCTCGTTAAGTGTGCACCTGACGAACGCTGAAAGCATACTGACTTAGGCCCCGCCCACAATGATGACGTCAGGACCTAGTTGAAAATCACAGTGCACAGTTGCTTAGGCCAGCTCCTCTTTGTTTTTCCTCGTGACTCTAATCTGCGCTCAGCCTACGGGTGCGGCCAGAGTGCACTCAGATTCAGACTCAGATTCAGATTTCGAAAACAAGCGCGAGAAATAAACAGTGTAGTCTAAGCAGGTTGCCTGCTTAGACTACACTGTTTATTTATGCGGTGCGGCCAGAGTGCACTCAGATTCAGATTCTGAAAACAAGCGCGAGAAATAAACAGTGTAGTCGAAGGGTACGGCCAGAGTGCACTCCTGATTCAGATTCAGACTCAGAAAACAATGCGCGAGAAAAAGCAGGCAACCTGCTTAGACTACACTGTTTGTTTCTCGCGCTTGTTTTCGAAATCTGAATCTGAGTCTGAATCTGAGTGCACTCTGGCCGCACCCGTAGGCTGAGCGCAGATTAGAGTCACGAGGAAAAACAAAGAGGAGCTGGCCTAAGCAACTGTGCACTGTGATTTTCAACTAGGTCCTGACGTCATCATTGTGGGCGGGGCTTAAGTCAGTATGCTTTCAGCGTTCGTCAGGTGCACACTTAACGAGACTCGCATTATAAGTGTTTTTTTGCGTTTTTAACAAGAAAAGGATGAAGTGTTGTGTTTTACTATGCCAAAGTTACTCAGACAGACGTTCTGATAATATAGATGGCATCACATTTCATGTGTAATTAATTTTATACGTAATAAAATATATAAGTTCTAGAACATTCTCAGCTATCAGCGTTAAAATTTTACTACTTGACACCAGATGGCGACACTTTTAGGAAGAAAATACATAAGTTTACGTATAATTTTGCAGTAGTATATTGTAATAATCGTACGTAAATACTGAAAACTGTTATACATTTATTCCTAAATAACTTTTAGTATCTAAAAAAGTAATTTTATCGATTTTATTAATATACTAGCTGACCCAGCGAACTTCGTACCGCCCTAAAAAAAATAGGGGTTGTCCAGCGGACAAAATTGTGAATCTAAACCATTCTCAGATCCCCTTGAACACACACAAAAAATTTCATCAAAATCGGTCCAGTCGTTTAAGAGAAGTTCAGTGACATACACACTCACAGAAGAATTATATATATAAAGATTACTAACTGGCCGCCATCTGTCGTCATATAGAATAACTTTTTAAACGTAACAAATATCCAGGGCCGTAATAAGTATTAAATTATTTAACCAAGTAAATTAATTTTAATTATTTTTATGTTCGTTTTAGATTTCCATCCAACGATAATTTAAAACAGCAATGGATTTCAAAACTTAATAGACCGGATTGGACACCAACAAAATACACAAAGATTTGTTCTTGCCATTTCAATGACGCGGACTTCATAGTGACAAAAAAAGGTCTTAAAAAATTAAAGAAGGGCACTTTACCTAGTTTAAAACTGGATTTATCGGTTTGTTTGGATGTTATTTGCGTAACCGAGTTTTAATTATTTTGGAAAAACAACTAGTTTATAATATTATTTTTTACATTACAGCTTAAAAGAAAATTACCAGAGCCTGTAAAATCATCTGTGGACCCTACCACAGGTGATTTAAATGAATTTCTGATACTAAATGATTCGCCTAGAAAAAAGAAGCTTAAGCAAGAAATAGAACAACTTCGATATAAAGAAAAAAAAACTGGTTTAAAAATCAGAAGACTACAAATGCAAGTTAAGCGTTTGAAAAAGAAGGTACCTACTTATCTAGTGCCACTATTTTACTTTACATACCACCAAATATTGTTTTCCAAATCACGACGTACCTTCGTTTTTGCTTTTGTTTCAGGTTAGAAGTTCAAATGCAGTAATTAAAGAATTAGAAAGCAAACACCTTTTGCAGGGAGAGGACGCAGAAATTTTATCATCGATAAATATAAAGATGAGAGACTTGGTTGGGCGACAAATTTCAAAAATCAAAAAACTTCCCTTAAAGAAGAAATATTCTCCAGCCCTCCGATCATTCGCCTTATCACTTTATTATTATTCGCCAAATGCGTACTCGTATGTGAGAAAAACATTTGACACCTGCTTACCGCATCCGAGAACCATTTCTAAATGGTATGAGACTGTCGACGGTGAAGCTGGATTTACAGCTGAAGCTTTTAAAATATTAAACCACAAAAAGAATGTCTCCGGCAAACACGCTTTGTGCAGTCTGATGATGGATGAGATTGCTATAAAAAAGCACGTTGAATGGGATGGCAATAAATATCATGGCTATGTTGACCTCGGACTTAACGACATCCAAAAGGACAACTCAGAACAAGCGTCTCAGGCTTTAGTACTGTTACTCTCAAACTGAGAGGTGGAAATTACCAGTGGGTTTCTTTTTAATTCATTCTATAACCGGGGAACAACGGGCTTTAATAGTAAAACAGTGTCTTTACAAAGGCGAAGAAAATGGTGTTGACGTAATTTCACTGACGCTGAATGGCTGCGCTGCAAATATTGCAATGCTCAAAAAATTAGGATGTTCGTTAGAACCTCAAGCAATGAA